TTTCGTCCCCACCTGAACGCCTCTCGCGATTTCCTTGAGCAGCGAGGGCTCCTTGCGACAGATGTCCGCCATCTTGCCCTTCAGTCTCCTGGTCTTTTTGCAGATGAGCATCGGATCCATCACCACCTGATTTCCAACGGTCCTGCGGAGAAGGTATCGGATGAGCGAGCAGGATCTTCTCGGATCGAGACGACGTGTATACGGTTTTTCGAAGGACAAGCTGATCGCCGGCTACCAAAAAGCACGAGGGGACACGGGCGCGGCAAGTGAACCGCGGCGAGGCCATTACTATAATTAAATCTCCCAGCCATTGTGTGTACTCATCGTGGCAGGTTACCAGGGACGAGACACGGTCTACGGGGACGAGTAAAGAACAAGCCAGAAACGGACAGGACGAACGGACGAAGGCAAAAGGAGGAGAGGAGGACAGTGGGAACCGCGGAGTGCTCTCCTTCGGGAGCAGAAAGAAGAGGAGCAAGAACGACGGACGACGAACGACGGACCAAGACTAAGGGGTTCGACGTAAAAAATTGCGGAAAGAAGAGCGACGGGGGGAATGGGGTACGAAGGGAAACCGGCGACGTCGAGGAGCGAAGGGTGGAAAGAAGGGGAGGGAGAGGCGGGAGTAGAGTCCGAGCGACCTTCGTTACGAAACGTTAATTAAGATCATTAGTTCTGCGTCGGTAGGATGCCGGGGCGCGTACACGACGGCCTCTCGGGAATGCAACGACCTTAATGGCAATAATTCCGTTAAGGACGGTTGCTCGCGCCCGTGTACGTCGCTGGTGCGGCCAGCGATGCTCCTGCTTTTCGTTCCGCACGAACCGGGAGAAAAAGAAGAGGAGTTCCGTGGTAATACGGGCGGACAGTCGTGCACCGGTGACATCGTCATTTGGGCGAGGATTCCAGCCTCGGACGACGACTATAACAGCGCGGACAAGAACGTTCGATGCGCGGACAAGAATTCTCGAGAAACTCGCGAAGCGGAGAGATCGAAATGCGCTTGCGGGCAGGGACGTCGAGAGCCGGTTGCGATCCGCGTTCTCCGTTCCTCCTGCCCCGTTCCACCTTCGCCGAGAAAAAAACCTAAACGTTGCTCTCGTTCCCGAGCAAAATATGGCGCATGTTACGTCTCGCGGGACGATCGGACCCGTTGCCGCGGAACAACGCGCAAGAACTTCATCCGACCAGTCGATATTCTTAACCCGAGCGATCCTCGTTCCCTCGATAGTCTCCATAACGGAACGCGCCACCTTCCACCGGCCACGTCAGCCCCCCGGAACCGGATATACTCCAGGGAAAACCCTCCGCGGCCGCGTCCCCGCGATACAAGCGGAAAGAAGCAACGCGCAGCAGCTTTTTAAACTCGAGTACCATTTCTTTCACGCGGTCCAAGGTTTTATCGAATTTTCATCCGAGACGTATTACTTTCGACGCCGCAATAAATTTAACGCGTGGGAAACAACGGAGAGAAGCGTCCATCGCTTCAAACCACCGAGACGAAAGGTTAATTCCACGAGGAAAAATATAATAAAAACAAAGATGAAGACGCGGAATATAATTACCACGCACGCGTGGTCTTGCGGCCAAGCTACGCCTCGTTGAGCATCGCGCAACTCGCGCTGTTTGCGATTGTACCATGTTTACACGGCATCTAAAAGCCATTAGGGTCGACGGAAAAATGGAGAGAAAACTCGCGGAAAACGAACTTTTATTTCGTCCATCGCGTTACCATCTCGACCGACATTTTGCTTTCCTACGATTCCCGCAATTATTCACGTATAATTATCGTTCTCGTTAAAAGGAACGCGTATGGGACGTGTAGGATTTTCCAAGCGGATCATCACGAGGAGCGAGGCATTTTCTCCCGATTTCCCGGCTTTCGAGGACACGTCGACGCGAAGGTAAAAGCCGAGTTGATTTCGGAATAAATCACCCTGCTCGCAGCACCCCCCGTTCGCGTCGTGTCCTTATCAAGAGGCAGGCGGTTCAACGGCTTTTCCCGGAATCGTTTCGCGCGCGCGATTTCCCGACAAGCTCGCGCGAACCCGCGCGGGAATGCGACAAAGGCCCCGTTCCTACGCATCGGATAATAGACGACCGGCATAGATATAAACGGCTGACTTTCCGAGAAGTCGAAAGTATCTCTAAAAATAGAAACGCGTGTGCGTTCCTCCTCGGCTGGGAAAATCGGACGAGAGGCGTGGAAGCTGATCGGGAATGCAGCCGATCGCGGGGATTTTCGCGGGAAAAGACACCGGCGTCGGCGTTTAAAAATTTCGCGCCTCTCGCGACGGGCGCGGCGTCCGAAAAGCGGATCCCCGCTGCGTGACACTGTCCTGACATTTACAGTTCAAAGGATCGCAGGCAAGGAGTATTTGCGCTGCTTCGTTAACGACTGCGCGGCTGACCTGCCAAGCGAAATAAACGGCGAGAGATGGTGGCCGGTCGATCGGTGCTTCTTGCCCGATGCGCGAATAACGTTACGACGTTATTAATGCAAACACGTCGCGTGGTTGGACGATCGCGGATCGGTCGGTTTCGCGATGCCGAGCTATTAATATCGCGTATGCTCGCGGTCAGCTCGCGGGAATTGGCGTGGTCAAGAACCGAGCGGCGCGCGTAACTTATTTTCGCGGGTCGCTCGCCGGGACGGAGGACGAGGTAGCGAGGAGGAAAGGAGAGGAAAGGAGAGGAGAAAGTGGAGCAGAGCTCGAGAGAGGACGAGGAAGATCGGACGGAGGACGGAGGGAACGGAGAAGCTGCGTGGGAAGGGTTGGGGATCGAGCGGGCTAGAACGAAGAAGGGGTTGTCCCCGTGTACGCGGAGGCAAGAAAAGAAGCGGAGGATGGACACGTCGTCGCGAACGAAAAGCGTGGAGAGGCCGGTTAGGGCGGTCGACTTATTTATTGCCTCATTAGACGCACTCACTTTGCTCGAAGGCAGCTCCACGCTGTCTGCTCGGATAGACAGTGACGAGAGAGCTACGTTGCTCTGGCCTCGCTCTCCGCTCGTCGGTGTTCGTACACGCTCGAATCGAGAGAGAGAGAGAGAGAGAGAGAGAGAGAGAGAGAGAGAGAGGACTGTGGATAGAGAGTACCAGAAAAAGAGAACGGACCCGTCCTCCGGCTGCCGAAAGGAGTTCGAGGAGAAGAAGAAGAAGAAGGAACGGAACGAGCTACGGAGGAGGAGGAGTAGCAGCAGAAGAAGAACGGTCGCTGGGTCCACCGGTGAATTCTTCGAATATCTCTCACCGTCCGAACGAGACCCTCGAGGATAGGAAGAAAACACGACGGAAGTTGGGAACCTCGCCTCCAAGGACATCGAGAGTAGGGTAATCCGATCGACCGCGAGATCCATTGCTTCTTCCTTTCCATTCCTTCGCTTTCTCATCGCGCCACCGACCACCGGAGGAATCCGTCCGGCCAGGGATACCAGCGAGACCGGGTGAAACGCGATGGAGGAAGAGGCCGGGGACCCGCACTCGGACCGATGGATAAAAGGCACAGAGGACGGAAGCAGAGAGTCGCGAAAGCTCGCTCCATCTAAATCGAATGGAAAAGACGATTCGGTACCGATGGAATCGCGGTGCCCCGGAAACGATGCACGGAAAACGAACGCACTCGCGACGAGAGGCGAATTTAACCATCTCGCGGGAACCTCGAGGAATTCGCGGCGCGAACCCCCCCGGATCTCCGGGAAGCGGAGAAAGAAGACGGCAGAGATCGCAGCAATGCCTCTATTTCCGCGTACGATCGCGGCCTAGCAGCGGCGTACCGGCGCTTAACGAATTATTCGTGGCACGCGGCTTAATGAAACCCGATCGAATCGGCGTAGGCTAATAAAATTAGAGTAAGCTCGGATAACGCGGGGGTCTTAAAATTCCGTACATAGCGGCTGCGTCGCGTACACGCCATCGGAACAATTTCGAATTCTTCTGCCGGAACGTCTAGCGTCGGGAAACGCGGCTACGCCCCCGACCTGACATTCCACCGAAATCGATCCCGTGCTTTCGCCTGCACCGGGACACGCGTTCCACTCGCGTTAACTACCACGGACCGGCTTGTTACCGGCACTTTTATCCAGACGCGTCCGTGCGGTTCAAACTAATCGCCGGTTACGTCGCTCGAACGCGCGGACGCCATTAGCCGTGGCGAACGAGACGCGACGCGTCGCCGCGATCGAATAAATCACCGGGCATCCGAACGCGCCATCTCGGGTCCCCGTGGGTGTTCGAGCGAATAGAGGAGGACACGCGCGAGCGATTAATTCCGAGATACTCTGGCCGATGGCGAACAGGTGGAAAGCGGCCGGCTGACGGAAGAGAAGCACGCTTTACGACTCTGTCGTCGCCGTAAAATCTGCTAACCGGTGCACTCCGAGATTACGATAATCGCGAAACGGTGGCTCGAGGGGATAATTGGAAACTCGCGGAGCTGCTCGAAATCGATGGCGGAATAAACGCGTTTGTATCTGTCGGGAGCTGGCGCGAGGCCTGGCGTTCGTTTCGCGCGCGCGAATGTTTCAGTGTCTCGCGCAGAATTCCGGTAACGTTGTTCGTTAGGCGATAAATCAGAGTCGGAGGAAATTATTTCTGTCCCACGAGTCGGGGGATCGTGATGTCGCGGACGAGGAAGTTCAGAACTAAATTTATCGTCGCAAACGATGCGCCGGGAATCGAAACTGACCGCGGATAAGCGAGGAACGGTGTTCCTCGAGTCGCCTCGTTTAGATCGGAAATCGATGGATCGCGACGGCAGCGCGGCGAGCACGGCACGCAGACGAGTGGAGCTCGCGCCGCGGCGCGCAAAGGGAACGAATTTTCCGTGTTTACGTTGGCACCGCGTGCATCCCTCCTCGAGCGAAAAGGTCGAGCTTTTACGGCCGCAAATAGACAAACCGGCGCGAGAGGGTACTAATCCTCGGCGAAACTTGGAGAAACGTTCGCGACGAAAATAAGCATTACGAGCGGAGGCTGACCGAAATACGGCCGGTATCGGGAGCAAACATCCAGCGAGAACCGCGCGGTTTACGACAGAGGCCCGCGGTTAGGCAGGAAGAGGTTAACGTTAAGCGATTCGGCAGGTTGCCGGGACTGGACGCGGAACGCGGAGCGGAGTGGAGTGGAGCGGAGCGAGCAGCGAGATTCCAGCGCGATTCCAGCGCGAATCGCCTGGCCAGGGCCCGATAAAAGCGGAACGAGTGACCTCGCGTCACACGGTCCGCGTGCTCTTATGATTATGATTATAGCCGCGCGGGAAAGAAAGAGAGAGGCCAGGTAAGATAGAGTGCATCGGGTGGGAGTATCGGGTTGTCCAACCAGCGAGAAGGTAGCTGCGGACTGCCCACCGCGGCTCATTGGCCAACTTTGCGACCCGACCGAACGCTATCGTATTATCGGCAACCGCTCGTTACGATACCGCGCCGTCGATCGCCGATCTCCGAACACCTTTTCCACCTGCGCGCCACCGACTCCCGGCCACCGTTCCTCCGCCGTTCCTCCGCCGTTCCTCCGCCGGTCGAAAGAGACCGAGGGGGGCTGGATTCCGGTGAAATAATTAGCCGGTTACACCGACCCCCCTCGTCCTACCGTTCGTCTAGGTCGCGACGATCAATTAGCGAGCGCGGCATGCGTCTCGCCGGCTAGAAAATTAACGAGCGAACCGTGTCAACGGTACGCGGCCCAATTAAACGCGACCAAGCTGATCGCGATACCGCCAATGTTACTCGGTAAAACGCACAGAGAGAAAAAGAGAGAGAGAGAGAGAGAAGGAGACGCGCAAGAATGCGTCCGAATCTTGCACACCAGCACGGATGCCTCCTCTCGTCTGCTCACCGTTGCTCCCGATTTTTCTCCTCGCAGACGGCTCTCGCGGTCTCTCGCCGAAGAGACGAAGAGGGATCGCGAGCGGGACGCCAGAAGCGGAGAAGGAGGCGAGGGAAGAGGCGAAACGGGGCTGCTGCCGACTTACAAATTATACGCGCTCAACGAGATTTACGGGTGACGCTTCGAGCGAGACCATTGTCCATCCTCGCTCGTTTCTTTACCTCTTTACTCCTCCAACTCTGGTCGTCTTTGTCCGCCGCGTTCGATCCTGCGACTCCGGGCTCCGGCTCCGCCGCGTGTCTCCGCGCTCCCGTGAAACGCAGCGAGAAACGAAGAGGGAGAGAGAGAGAGGGAGGAGGAACGGTGGATAGTATTCCTCGCGACAAAATCGGGGAATCTCGATCGGGAACGAGAATCCGGTTCCGATCGGAGTAATCGGCCCTCGATTCCGCGGGAACGAAAAGGACGAAGCGCGTAGATCGACAAACTTCCTCGCGAGCTTGACTCGTGCAACGCGAAATGCCGCCGCCGGCTGGACGAAGAAAGAGAGAAAAAGGGGAAAAGAACGGGAACGTTCGGAACCTGCGACTACGCCGTGGCATTCCTCGAACCTACTTAAATACCTGTTAAATACCTGTCGTCGAAACAAACCACGAACCTTCTAATGTATTTATCAAACACTCCGTCGTGTGGACGTCGTGGACAGGTAAGCGAGCAAGGTGCGACGGTACAGCGTCGACTGCGCGCAGAAATCCCCTTTAAATCGTTGACAAATATTTGCTCGACCTTAGCACAGACCACCACCTTTCGCCACCTTCGTCGCAACTATACTTTCCAATTTCCACGCTAAACGCGCCTCCTCTCCTACCTCGCTCGCTCCCCTAATTTTTCCCTCCATTCCCCCGCGAAGGGAGGAAAAGTTGGAATTCGGATCCGGAAGCAATTTGGAAAAGAATGGAAGAAGATTGAAGAAGAATTGTGGAAGAATTGGAAAAAGTAAGAGTATTCGGAGTAATCGCGAGGACGAGGCGGAACGAGAAACGGTCTGCGCGACGACGATTCGTCCGTGGATGCTGGAACCTTGGATGGCAGGGCAGCGATAACGGTCTATCGTCGTACAAACATTTACGTAATAAACTCGGGTACACATCGCGCACTCGAGCTACCGAATAATTTACCGTTGCTCGAGATACCTCGCGAGTACGTAACGCGGTTACTCGGAACGCGTCACGCGCCGCTTGCGAATTCGCGACGTTTCACGGCGATCCCTTTCCCCCCCGGCACGGGGCAACCCGATGGATTTCGCGATTTCGTGCCACGGGACAGACGAACCTCGCTCCACTGTCAATCCGCCGGATCGGGCCCCGAGGAAGCCGAGATTTCCCGGTAACGGTAACGAGCAATTTAAGCGAATCGAAATGAAACCGTAAATCTCGGGACAAGTCTTACTTACCGGAGCGCAAGTAACTACCAAAGGTGGATTTATGGCGTCATTAATCATTCCGCGTGCGCGTAACGTGCCGCGTAATTGATAACCCAGATGACGTACTTCGGAACTGGAGCACTCGTTAGTTCGTCACGTTTGGAAAGTACCGACGTTAACCGCTCTCGGGGAGCAACTATTTTTCACATAATTACCCACATAAAAGTGGTAACGCTTTTGATTACAACGACGCGCTCTCGTCATCCCGTTTAACTCTGTCCCTTCCTCTCTCTCTCTCTCTCTCTCTATTCCTCGCCGAGTCCCTTCGTATCTCCGTTCGTCTTGCCGCCGCGTCGCGAGAGGAGACGAGCGTAATTGCTCAAAACGCGTGACCGAGGATCCACTCGTGGCGAAAAAAGTCACTTAGGACTCGCGAACCGTGACTTTCCTCTCGACAGAGGTCCCCGTCGCGAAGATCTCCACGTTGGAAGGAAATCGGGAAATGGCGGAAATCCATGGGACAAGCCGTGTACGTACCAGAAAGAGCCGGCGATGGGGGTAACGAGAAGGAGGCAGATCGCCACGAGAACGAGGCGCATCTCCATCCCCTCCGCCCCTCGATGTGACTTCGACGATTGCCGATTGCTCGCCCTCGCTGCCCTCCGTGGTGCCGTTGGGTACCGGAAGTCGCTGGTTCCTAGACCGTGAGCGGGCGTGTGTCGGCGAGTGTCCTGTTCCGCGCGACGGCGTAGCGCCACCGGATTCCTGACCTACGAAACCGTGGAAAAAAAATTCGGACGACGCGCGACACGTATGGCTCGAATCATGAATCGCGTCGCGTAGAATCGCGAGTCTCGTTCTCCCTCGGAAAAAATACTCCCGGCTGTGTGCGCGCGCGCGCGTGTGTGCTTTTCCCCGATCTCGAAGGAGAAATTCTTTATCGAGCACCCGATCTCCTCGACCGTCCACTCTCGACTACTTTCTCGTATCTGGTCTTCGCTTCTGCCGACACTTCACCGAAGCACGATCGTTTTCTTCTTCTTCGTCTTCGGCGTCGTTGCAGCCTTCTTCTTCTTCCTCTTCCTCCTCTGTCTGTTCCTCGGCTTCTTTCTTCCCCGGCTTGCACCAGTGTACCGATCAAAGCGAAAGAGCCTCTTTGAAACTCTCGAACGGATACAAATATTGACCGCGGCGAATCCTCATGATCTCTATCCGGGCCACTGGGAAACCGTGAAAAAACAATCAAATTTCCTCGTTTGCTTTGACTCGCGAAACGTAATCTTTTGGAATCGCAAATGGTCCTTATCACGATCGAGAAATTCCTGGAAGAGGAACCCTCCGCTTCCGGCCCGTTAAACTAGATATCCCCCACCCCTCTCCGTCGTCACTGCGTTTCTCTCGTCTCTCGTCTCCTTTTCGCTTCTTCTTCTTCTTCTTCTTCTTCCTCTTCTTCTTCTTCCACTCCACCTCCTCCTCCTCCTCCTCCTCCTTCTCCTTCTTTCGTCTTTTCCGCTCCTTTTTCCTCCGCTTCGCTTCCCTTCCAGACCGGAACCCTTCGCGACTGGACGAAAACACCGATGAGACGAGACGCGATCGGGGTCTAGGAAGCTCCGCTATTTCCTTCCGGCGGGGACAAAAACGCGTCGCGTTCCTGCCACAACTACGTCACCACGAACTTTGAGTGTTGCCTTACCCCCACCAGAAATGTACCAAGGAGTAGAGAAGACAGCCCCACCATTCACCTTCATCCGCTTCTTTCTCTTCTTCTGCTTCGTCTCGTCGTCTTCCTCCTCCTCCTCCTCCTCCTCCTCCTCTTCTTCCTTCGCCTCTGCTTCTTCTACCTCTGCTTCTTGTCCTCCTCCTCCGCTTCCTCTTTCGGCTTGCCTCGAGACACCACCATTACCACCTTCACTGCACCACCAACGTCGACGGCACCGCGTCTCGTCGCGCGATATATCCCCGTCGATCTTTTCGTCACCGTCCGGCGCGCACCCCCTGCGAGAACGATCCTGGCTCGACGGATGGCCCGGGAAATCGGGAATTTTCGAAAAGGAGGAAAGGAATTTAGGCGCTGAGCACCGCGATGGAGCGCGCGTGCACGCGGGATTAAAAGGGAGGAAAACCCGGGGGGGAAGCGAGGGAGCGCGGCAGCCGGTGAAAAGGGTACCGCAGGGTAGGAAGAAGGTCGAAAAGCTCACGTGGTGTAGCGCGATCGTGCGGAGGTGGAAAGTGGCCGATGGTAGGGGAGAGGAGAAGAGAATCGTTGGTCCGTGATCGGAGACGAAGCTCCTGGTCGGAGCGAACCGTACGAGACTGTTGCGGACTAGGCAGGTGAGCGCCGCTCGGCGGCAACGAGACGCAACCGAGCCCCTCTTTTCCTCTTTTAACTCTCCTACGAACCACTCGGCTCCTCTGTGCTTCGCAACCTGCCGCTTCGGGATCCACGGAGGGAGGATCAGCTTCCAAGCACACCGATACACCTTTCGACCCCGTCCGTCTCCAACCTTACGATACCGATTCGCCAAAACACCTAGCCCAGCCTTGGTCCCCGTTAATTCCTCCGTCCTGTCTCTTCGTGCCGCGTGGTCCTCGCGACGGACGCACTTTCACGGATCTTTCCTTCGCGCGAACGCGTTCGGAGGATCTCAGAATCGATTCCAAGCACGCTTCCTTTGCGAAAATCCGATCCCAAGGGGACTCTCCTGGGTCTGACACGGACAGCCGACTAGATGGTTCTGAACGAGACGGTAGCGGCTCGTTCGTCTCTATTTAATCGCGTATTTTCTACTCGGCAGTCGCATCCTCTTCCCTCGTTTAGGGTATCAGCAGTGACTACCTTCTTCCCTCTCTCCACTGGCATCGGCCTCGCTGGTGCACACTGGAGGCGCATCGCGCGGGACTATCGAGGGTTCAAGCTGTCGGCGTGTGGCTCGCTACGTTCTTTTCATCTCTGCCGCCGCGAAAAAGCCATCGATTCTCCAGCGGGAGAGAACGTTTACCGACCCTGTTCCTGTCCCCCTTTTTTAAATTACATCGATACTTCCGTGTCTCTGCCGTGGTACGAGGACGAGTAACATCTTCCAGGAATTCCGGAGAGTACTCCCGGCTTACCCGCGAGACAACTGTGTTAGCTCCGGCTCACGGGGGACGTCGGAAACGCCGAGGCCAGCTGGAAGGAGAAGCCTAGAGATTTCCGAGACGTCGGAACGTTCATCGTCCTCGCGAGGGGCTCGAGGTCGCGCGGAAAGCCGGGATTACGCGAAAGCTTGGATTAGACTCGCGTGTCCGAGACGCGCTAGCTGTACTTTCGTTCCTCCCCTTGCTCTCTTTCCTTTCTCCGACGATCGGTAGCGAGAGAACGGCTGACCTAATTGACGGATCGTTCCGCGCGTATCTCCAGCGACGGGTCAACTGCTTCGTTGACCGAGCGAATGCGCGAGCGATCGGTCTGGATGTCACGACCATTCGCCGTTAGTTCGCGGAACCGATGAGAACCGTTCTCTAGCCGGGTGGAGGAGAGCTCGGCCGTTCCCGGTGACAGCGGCTCGAGTCACCGTGGCACGGCATAGGTGGCTCTAATTACCCGGGACGATCGCTTTCCCCGATTTCACCGACGCGCGTGCCTCGTTAAACGGGGCCCGTCCGGATAGCCAGAGCCGGCGATAACCGCGAGGATGAACGACGACGGAGGACGAGAGAGGACGCGGTAGCGGAGAAAGCAAAAACGTCGTAGGAAGTGTGCCGGTAAAAGGAATCGTCCGGTGTAGCTGTATCATCACCGCCGAATCCTACCCAGAGGGACGAGAGCAGTTTGGAGCGGCAGAGAGGTACGAGCGAAAGAACCAACGGGCCCCGATAGAGGAGGAAAGCAAGAGATCGCGGCGGAAGAGTAGGAACTGCCGAGGCAGAGGTGGAGAGGAAAGAGGAGGAGAAGGAGGAGGAGGAGAAAGAGAAAGAGCGAGCGAGGGGTCAGCGGGGGTCCGTATTACAGCTCATTTAGCAGCGGGGTCCTGTGCCCCTTCGGCGGGCCGAGAGATCCTCACGGATCAGGCTCGCGTTGGACCTACGGCAAAGACGAGTTCGTTTCGTTCCCATAGACCGAGGAGACCTCCTGGCACCTAGATCCTTCTCTACCGACGATTACTTAACTTCGCGATATTTCATCCGAACGTCGTCGACGTCGACGCCAGCGCGTTGGTCGGCCCCCGATGAACCGCTACGGCGGGGCCTCGGTGAAATTTTCGTCAAGCTCGGGTTAGGTCGATTAGCGTCCATCGGTCGTTTATTTTCGAGAAGGACGCGGTACCCAGGGGAATATCGGTTTTTAAAGGGGGAAAAGGAGGGGTGAGGGGAAGGGAGAACGTTACCGAGTTGTGACCAACACAGACACGGAATAGCTAGTAATTTATGGGTGAGACTAATTACCGGGGAATGCCGCTCCTCCGACTCTTCTTTGCTCCTAAGACCGCATCTCTACCAGACCAGTTTTCAGAGACGAGTGGAGCTTCTCTTAGCCCACCTTCGTCTTCGTTCATCGTCGTTCGTCCTTTCCTTTTTCGCCTTTTTCGCCTCCCTTTTCCATCCTCTGACCCGCGCCAGCGTTTAAACGTTAATTTGCGCGGACGTGTCGTCGCAAGAAGACGTCGATTCGACCGACTTTATCGTAATCGATCTTGCTAGCGATTACCTCTCCGGGAGGGGGGCCTCGCGCGTTCCTTGTAAACCGTCCTCGAACGATCGCGTGGAAGCGCGACAAGCGGGAAAAGAGAGATAAAAGCGGAGAAAAAGGAAACGGGGAAAAAGGAAGAGAAAGGAAGAGGAGAGGGAACGGTTATTTTGGAAAAAGAAGAAAATATCGGGCGAGGGTGCTCGAAAGGATAATGGAGGAGAGAAAAAAACAGGCGTGTTCCCACGAGCCATCACCGCGGAGGAGGGTGTCGGGACAATACCAAGGCCCGTTCTCAGCCGTCGTTTCGACATTAGCCTGACCTAACAATTTGGAGCAAGCTCGGTGCCCCTGCTACCACACGATTCCTCTTCGTTAAATGCCATTATACGTTTCACTTGGACACCCGGTCGTCGCATGAGTCGTGAATTCCTGAGAACCTGCTCGAACCACGGACGGGCAGCGGCAGCGTGCCGGTGGCGGCCACCGGTGCCGCTCGAAACGATAGAGGCGGACCATAGCGCGCAGCCACCGACAGATTCCTCTATTATGACGAGAACGAATCGACGGAAAAAAGGATCGCGGCGGTAAGCTACGCGCGTGACGAACTCGCCTCGATAGAGCCGTGCACGTCTCGGATCCGTCCTCTCGCCTCGTGCGATCGCGTTCCAACGCGAGTCGAAAGGTTCGTTGGAACGTTGGCGCAGAAATCCGAAGCGACGCAAGGAACCGAAATCGAGGCACGAGGGTATCCTCCAGTCGGATTCTAACGAAAGGCGAGAAGGGAGGATGCGGAGGAAGAAGGAAGGAAGCATCGGAGGACCCGCAAGCGGTTTTTGTCGCGAATCTCGCAAGGCCGCGTCGCAGACGGTCAAGCGGGACCTCGTGACCGAGTAGTGGACCCGAAAGCCGCGGTTGGGACCGATGACACGGCATCGG